TAAATTATACACATGTTGACTGTTAAAAAGGGATGCTTTCAAGAATTTAAAACCTGCTTTCAAAACAAAACAAAAACCACTAACCAAACTTACCTTCACCATTTAAATGTAATGGTGACCCCTAGTGGCCACTCTGCAAGTTGACTAAACAATTGAAGAATAACTGAGTCATGATGTCTGTTAAATTCATACAAGGATTGAAGATTTCATTAGTGAGGCTCCTGTTCCAGCATTTATGTACACCACAGTGCCTTGTAAATTAATTCGATTTTATAAATATCTTTGTTTCTATAAATGGAACAGTGGAAGGGTAAAGAATTGTGCTGCATCTCATTGACGCTTATACACAGGGGACTTGTAAGTCCCATCTAATCCTGGACTGGAGGGTCTGATCTTTTTTTTTTTTAATTTCGATTCATAGATTACTTAGTTATATTTCAGCATGTAGTGATTTATGCCTTTGCTTTTAATTTTTGCTACCATGGCAATAAAATGACACAGTTATCTGAAACACAGACCTTGTATTATAGTTCTCCAAGTAATTGCTGAGATCTGATTGGATGGGGAATGACTCACCTTTGATCAGTGTCCTGCCCTCCCACGTCCTCAGACACCTCCATCCATCCATAGATTGGCGCACCAACACTCCAGCTTCCTGTTACCTTCCCAGGACACTGTTCTGTCCTCTCAGTCCCAAGTACATACTCACTGCTAGTTCCTACAGGGGAAACAGTGACAACTAAGCTTAGTGTTGGAGAATTTTGATCAAAGAATCACTTTTTATCCAGGAGCAGGAGAACTGAATATTGTTTTATTTTAATAGGTCCTAACATTTAGTTTAAGAGAATTAACATCACTTTTATTTTCTTTTAGGTATTCCCTAAATGTTCTATAATGAACATCTGGTTTTATGTTCAGCAAAAGCATTTTAGCTGTACATGGTTGTATACAGCTCTCTCTGTCTCTCTCCCCCTCCCTGTCTCCCTGCCTCTCTCCTCCCCGCTTTTCTCTCTTTCTCTCTTCCCCTCTCCACCCCCAGCCTGTCTCAGAGCAGTGCCTAGAAATGAAAAGTTGATAAAGTTCATAGCAGGTGGTTGCTTCCATTTCATGAAGATGAGCCACCCAGCTGTTAAATTCCCCTGCTGGACTCAGTGCTTTCTGGACCTCTTTGTTTTTATTTTACAACTTCTTTTTATGTTTACCTGTTTGTTTGTTCGTTTGTTTGTTCACTCACTCACTCACTCACTCATTCAGTGTGTGTATGTCTATGTGTTCCTGAGTGTCTGTACCATGGAGTGTGTGGAGGTCAGAAGACAACTTGCAGGAGTCAGTTCTCCTCTGCTGTGTGGGCCTTGGGGATTGAGCTCTGGTTGTGGGGTTGTGAGGCTTGGTGGGAGCACCTTTGGCCACAGAGCCATCTTGCTGACTTTGTTTATTGTCTTTGAGACAGAGTCTCGCTGTGTAACCTGGGGTGATCTCAGACTCACAGCAGTCCTCCTGCCTCAGCCTCCTGAATGCTTAAATGATTGGTGTGGATCAGCTTGCCCGGCTGCTTTTACATCCTTTCAAGACAGCCTCTTGTCAAGTTGAAGCAGATATGTTATACAGTTGAGCCAAGTTTATTCTACCATAAATCTGTGTTTCTATGGCAATATGTGTTGGACATACTTATAGAAACTGTAAATAGAACTTCTGGGTTTATTTCTGACAAAGTATAACAAAATGATTGTCATGGTTCTAGACCCCAGAGAAAATGGGTTGGCTTAGATGAATGGATTCCTGAGGGTACAGAGACAAACGCCACAGAGTTCCCATTACTTGGCTACTTGTAGAGGTTTTTGGCATCCATTCCACTGTGCTCTTGGCTGTGTGTCAGCTGAGCCCATTTTCATTAGAAGACTTGCTCTGAGTTATACGCCCTTGTTTGACCTGTGATAACCAGTAGCTCCTTCTGAGTGGAAATGTATGCTTTCTCCAGGTCTTTCCCAGATGTATGCCTATCATTCTTTGTGGCAGTTTTTATTCTCTAGCCTGAATCATCTTTCTCTATTTTAATTAGTTACATTGAAAAATATAAAGCAGAAGCATGTCTGAGAAAGAAAAAATACTTAAATTTTTGTGTCTCCCCTTTTAAGTAAGAATTTACATTCATTCTTTTAAGCATTTGAATTATTAACTATACAGTTTGAAAACACCATGTTTCTTAGAGTGATTTGTTATGTCATTTGATTAGTAAAATAACCAGTGATAGATAATAACAATTGTAGTTTTATATGGCTCCTCCACACACACAAAACAAAATAAAAAACCTACTTAAACACAAAAATCCTCCAGACCACCAGGAGCATGTTTTGAAGATAGTGTGCCACCTCAAACCATTGTGCCTGCACATATTTACAGAGTAGCTCATGTGTGCTAATGTGATTTCCTTCCTGTATATATCATCTGACTGTAGAAATAAAAATAGCTCCTTTCTATTTTTTGGTCGCTATTTAAAATTGGTTGGACTATATTTCAAGTATTTTTTTCTAACAAGTGGCTTTTTGCAGAATCTTTTCCATGGTGGGAAGTGGTGTGGGGTTTTTGGTCAGTCGGTTGGTCAGTGGGATGCTTTTCCGTCTTTGCCTAACTGCTGACTCTGAATCCCAAAGCATTGTTGCTCCCAGCCTAAGTCATTAATTCCCATCACTTTGCTTTTTAACAGTCCTGGGAGGCTTCCTAGCGGCTCTTTTTGGAGCCTTTTGTTGAGGACCAGCCAGAGGTAGACAAGCCAGGGTCTGTGCTCTGGCTCTGCAACTCCCAGCCCATATTCCCCCATCCCTGTTAAAGGGACCGACTTCTCCGGCTTATTGTGCAGAATGAAATATATATAAGTTGAAACTACTTCTAGGCACAAGCAAACAAATAAATTTTGATTTAATTATTGTAGATCAGAGTTGATAAAGGCTTTCTGTGAGAGGCTGGATGGTATTTTAGACTTTAAAGACCCCATAGTCTCTGTCATAACCACTCAACTATGCTTGGACAGTGTGGACACAGCTACAGATGCTACATGACTGTTCCTGGCTATGTCTCAATAAATTTGTTTGTAAACACAGACTGTAAGCGAGCATTGTGGCACACTTGTAATCCTAGCACTTAGGAGGATCAGAAGTTCAAAGCCAGCTTCACCTGCACAGCAGGTTCCCAGCTGGCCAGGAAGATATGAGACCCTGTCTCAAAAAGTAAAAGAAAAGAAAAATCAGTGTCGCTTGGTTTGGTGGTACACATTTGTAATATCCACGCTGATGATGCTGAGACAAGAGGACTCCAGAATCTAGGCAAGCCTGGGCTACTTAAAGCCCTTTCTCAAAACAAACAAACAAACAAACAAACAAATCCAGGAGATAGGCCATAATAGACCATTGTCCAAGACTAATAAAAGTAACAAAAAAGATATGGAGAATATAGTGAGAATTCTGTGTAGCTTTTATTTGAAGTATATTATTGAGAATCTAGGTTGACCTTAAAGGCTTGTTTACAAACTCAGGACATTTAAAAAGTCTGTGTCTGCATGAGATGTTAAAGGAAGTGGAAGGGGACAGCTGGGAATCAGACAGGGAGACCAGAGTGACCTGGAGTGGGTTTGCAACTCACCTGAACTGAACTGACAATTGTCTTGTTATTACCTGTTTAGAACTATGTCATGTAGCACTCACATTGTGGTAGACACCAGCTTTAAAAATCTCCATCTGTGTCATGCTCTGCTCAGTTAACAAACTTTCAGTGAAAATTCCAGCAATAGGAACCAGTAAAGAATAGCTCTAGATCTGTCGATGAACACAGATGGAGAACATCCTAAAGCATATCCCTCCTTGTTCTCTCAAATACAGTATATTAAAAGACAATCTTGCTCGGTGGTAGGGCCGTACCCATGGTGATATATTATTTATGACTTAGTAAAGTTTGCCTGAGGATTTAGAAAGCAGAGTCAGACAGAAGCCATAGAAGCCAGGCTCACACCTTTAATCCCATGACTCAGGATTAGAAGGTAGACAGAAAGATCTCTGTTAGTTCAAGGCCACCCTGACTACATGAAATTGATCCAGTGCTAAGAGAATCAGCTCACAAAGATGATCTCAGCACTTGGTATCACACGCCTTTAATCCTAGCACTAGAGAGGTATAAAAGATAGGAGCAGGGTCTTCAGAAATCAGTCTCAGGAGTTTCTAGCTATGTTGAGGAGAACATAGCAGTCTGAGGAGCCCTTTGGTCTGAGCATAGGTAGATAAGATCTAGTGGCCAGTTGCTTGGCTTTTCTATCTTCAGCTTGAAGCTTGAACCCCAATATCAATCTCTGGGTCTTTTATTTATTGTACTACACATACCTAACTCATGTGAGTTTGACTCTCAGCACTGCAGAAAACCCAAACCGGCTGGTCAAAAACCATGACCTTATTGGAAGTTTTATTTAGGCATTTTGTGGGCCAGCCTTGAAGATGACTTTTACACAACATTTATTGCCTAGTATCGTAGTTTAATAAGGATCAGGAGAAACAAATAAGCCGAATAGATGTTTATTCAGGGAGAAATAACTTATAACATAGACAGATGAACACCAGCGAGTTCCTGGTCTCAAGGATGCCTCCAGATGCTCTCCAGTCCATGTGTTGCAAGCAAGAGAGCGCTTCTGGACCCCTCCTCAGATCTAGTTCCCCCAGGTCACTCCCGCCCCTGTCTCCACCCCCAATGGACGTGGTCAGTGCCACAGATGTAAAGTGAATATCTCACTACAGCCTAGCTATTTCTTTCCTATTAGACCACCGATGGTTACATCTATAAGGTAATTTTTTTTAGCTTGAGGCCTTCACATTGAATTTATGTGCCTATCTTAACTTTTAACCCTTTACTGTAGATGGAGGCTAACTACCTTCACCTGTGGCAAGAATGAGTAAAATGCTTAGAACACGCCGCCTCCCCACTGTTGCCACTGAATAACCATCTTCCAAATTCTTTTTTAGAAACAGATTCAACAGGACAAAAAGACAAAAACCAGACTCCTGCTCCCACTGCAGTTCAGACTTCTGCTCCTTCCAAGTACCACCGAACTCGATCTGGAGGGGCCAGAGATGAGCGATACCGATCAGGTAAGAAGAAATTGCAGAAGCTTTCCTGCCTGTAGTGTGAATTGTGTGTCTTGAGCTCTATGAACTGTGTTCTGAGCAGTGTGAACTGTGTGTCCCAAGGAGTGTGAACTATATGTCTTGGGCAGTGTGAACTGTGACCTAAGCAGTATGAACTATTTGTCCTGGGCCATGTGAACTGTGTATCCTGGGCAGTGTGAACTATGTGTGCCAAGCCGTGTGAACTGTGTTCTGAGCACCCCTTGTGGTTGATGTGCTGCTTTCTGTTAGCCAGAAGGTTGTTTTCATTCACTCAACAGTGTATCTAATATGCCTTGAGTGTCATCTGTAGATTTCAAGTTTTTTTTTTTTTTTTGACCAGATAGCAGCAAATGAGACCATTTCTGCCTTCAAGGAACTTCAGTTTCAGAAAAGGAGCCAGACAAGGGCAACATCAGTGTGAATAAATAGTGACTGATCCATTCTGTGAGTGAATTTTACTAGGCACATAATTTCACATATGGAGTAATGATGATGAGAGATAATTAGTTACCACCACAAAAGGATTGCACATCATACCAGTTTCCCTTGAAACTTACCTTGTCCTGAGGGATCAGGTAACAGTGGAGTCATGGCAGTCAAGAATTAGTTAGGGAAATGGCACCAGATAGTGGGCCCCAAAGTAGTTCATTTTATCTGGAACTTAGAGTGCAGGGGCCAGCAGGGAGTGAAGACAGGCTAGGGAAGGTTTCCAGAGGCCAAATCTTGAGATTCTCAAGTGTACTGAGAATTTTAGCAGAGCAGAAATCTGCTCAGATTTCTATTTGTTCTAGTAACTCACTCCAGTGCACACTGCTTGCTGTACAGTGATGTCTTTCGGTGCTAAAGCAGGACTTTGGATTAACAAAGGAAGTAAAGTAGGATTGCTTGTTTTGCTACTGGATTGTGGCCCAGGCTGTCCTTGGATGCATGAGTCCTCCTTGAGCTTCCCAAGTGCTGGGATTGCAGGTGTGCACCACCACTCCCAGCTAAAAGCAGCTGCATTTAGGGTGAATCAGAGGGAGGTAACACTGGCAGCAGCAGAGCATATCTAGACTTCCTGTATATTGCCAAACATCCAAGCTGGTTTCCTAGGCATCACTGTCTCTTTTTGAGGCCAACTCATGGTCAGCAATGTGCTCTAACCAGAGCATAAGGGGTTGGGTACTTAGAATTCTCATTTCTAGCCTTCTGGGAGACCTTGTTTCTCCCCTGGTTTACCTTTCTTTCTTGACCTGTTTGTTGACGGATTATGATAAAAGATTTAGTTTAAGGAACCAAGAAGCTGATTTTCTACATTCTGTGTTCAAAATGATTGTAGATCAAGAAGGCTTGTGTGCTCATTGGATGAAGTGAAGTTTATGACACTCCCTTACAGAAACCCCATAGTGACCTCCAGCCCCTGCCATTCTGAACCACTTCTTTTAGAATTCCCCAGTTGATAGAAAGCGGTGTGTGAATCAGGTGTCTGTAAACGCAGGGTAGTGATAAGGGTTCATTGTGGTCAGGTTGGTATCTGTCTCACTGGACTTTGTGGGAAAGAGGAAACTAGTAAGAGACAGGCCGGTAGGGAGTGATAAATAGGGAAGAAAAGGTGGTTCACAAAAATAATTTCTATGACTCAGTGGCTAAGAGCATTTGCTGCTCTGCCACAGGACCTAGTTTGGTTCTAGCACTAATATCGAGTGGTTCCCAACAGCTTACAAGTCTATCTCCAGAGGACCTGCCTCTGTTTACTGGCCTTCAAGGGCATCCACATGTATGTATGCAAACATACAAACACAAATAAAAATAAAATAAATCTTTATTTTTAAATCTCTGAAGGGTTGGAAAGATGGTTCAGTGATTAATAGTACTTGTTGTTCTTCCCAGGGCCAGTTTCAGTTCCCAGCACCCACATGGCAGCTCACAACCATCTGTGACTCTAGTTCTAGGGGATCCAATACCTCATCTGGTATCCAGTGGCATGCATACACACAGACATGAATGTGGCAAAACACCCATATACATAAAATAAATAATAATAAAGCTTTTTAGAAAGCACCTCCCTAACATTAAAAAGAAACCTCCGAAAATATGAAAACCTGTGAGAGTTGAAACATAAAAAGGCCGGAAAGCATAGATTATAATTGAGCACTGTGGCTTTCAGTCAGTGTACTGTGACGTTCAGCTGAATAGCCATGGAAACTCCTCACATGGGAGGATGGAATGGTCTTAGAATTCTGGCATTTCTAATATCAACAGCAGCTGCATGGGTGAGGGAAGGGAACCTCCATCTCTGCGCTCTGCATTTCCAGTCATGAGGAGGGCTGTAAGGCATGCAAAATGGCTCAAGTGCATAAGGGATGTTTAGTAAAACTTGCAGTTCAGAGTGAAGTGGTAAGTGCACAGAAAAGCTTGGTTATTTAATTCTGGTAAGTGTGACTGGGAAAAAGTTCCTGTTTGGCACAGGCTGACATTCCAAGCAATCATAGTCAACTCTAAATAGTCTTTGTGCTTAATGTTTCAGGTGTAATTGTAAGAGCTTATGTTTTCAGAGTTTATTTTTGTGTGGGGGTGTTTTGCCTACATATAGTCTGTGCATCATGTGTATGCCTAGTGTTCATGGAAGTCAGAAGAGGGTGTTGGATCTTTTGGAACTAGAGTTACAGACTTTTGTGAGTTGATATGTCAGTGCTGGAAATGAAAACTAGGTCCCCTAGGAAGAGCAGCCAGTGCTCTTTGGTGAACTGTCTCTCCAGCCCCTGCTTTTAGGGATTTGGGTCCTGTGACCTGCTCTTGGTACTCAGCCAAAGGACCTTAAACATGCAGCTGATATAGTTAGTACCTCTTCCTCCTGACCATTAGGAGTGCAGCTTTCTACACATGTGTGATTTGTTCCCAAGTGAAATGCAGAAAACACACAGTTAATGCTTATAGTGGAAAGTAAGTCCATAAGACAACATCCTTGATGTAGATCTTTTGAGAAATTATCCACCACATATAAAATAATAAAATGAGAAAGGACATTCAGGGTGTGTTAGCATCACCCCGTTAAGCTAGGAAATGATACTCAGCTTCCATGACTTCTGGCACAGAAATCCAAAGTCAGCTTTGTCCAGACTGAACTTCGGAAGTGATTTCCTTATCAGAGATCAAGATGAATCCTGCACTGTTGAACCCATCACATTCTATTATGAGGGCTGCTGTGTTCTGATCAGTAGAGTCTTGACTAGATCAACTGGGTCTGTCTCCTTTGACACCAGTGTCTGGGCCAGGGTTTTCATGCAGGGACAGTTGGGTGGCCCAGTGTTCTTGGACCTGATGCTGTGACACCTACTGTGTGTTTCTTAGTGATACAGATGGTTTAAGCCTCCCAAAGGCATATCAGCGGGGCTGATGCCTGGCTTTGCCCTTGTTTCCTATCACATGTAAAAAAATACTTTGGGAGATAAGGAACCTGGTGAGAGCACTTGCTTTGCTTCTGTTCTGTCATTGAGAAAGTACTTTATCCCATTGTAATTGGTTATTTATTTACCAAGACAGTGATACACCATGGTTCTTCTAATATAAGAGCCCTTTTTGAAAAACATTTTATTATGTCTGTTTTATAAGATAGTGTCAAAATTTCAATAAGATATGGCAATCTTGATTTGGATAAACTTAGGCAATACTAAAATAATATAATATAAATGCTACATAAAATCATTTCATTTCGCAACCCAAAGTAAGTGAGTTGGTACTGTGCTTTTAAAAGTAATTGCCCAAATTGGACATGGTAGGTAGTGTACACCTATAGTCCCAGCATGCAGGAGACTGAACATTACATAATATTCATAGGTACAAAAACTTGAGAGGAGGACTTGAGGGATGGTTCAGCCATTAAAGGCTAGGCTCACAACCAAAAATATAAGAAACTTGAGAGGAAAATGTAGCTGACTGTTGATTGCTGTATCTTGCAAAGTTCTTACTCAGTATTGTATGTGTTTAGGTTGTTTTTAAATATATAATTACTTCTTGTGTTTTATGTGTTTAGATGGTTTTTGTAACATATAATTACTTCTTTTTTCCTTTCTGGTGATTCTAGGGATTGAACTTCAATTGGACTAGGGCCTCACACATGTCAGACAAGTGCTTGGCCACTGAGCAATCCCCACTGCTCATTTTTCTCATTGTTGACAAAATGGCCCATAAAATCTCTCTGTGGTTAATTGTAAGCAGGACAGCAAACTAAGCCATGACAGTTCAAGTGAATCACTTCATGTTCTACTATAAATTCTCGTCAGTTTGGATCCTTCTGATTTTATGTTAGAGAAACACAGCGGTACCTCCCTCTTTCATCTAGTCTTTGTCCAGATCGGTTCTCTGTTTGTGTTAGGTGGCTGGCACAGGTCTTTCTGTATTAATATACTACAGACTACAGAAAATGTGGATCTGACAGAGATGGAGCACTTCCTGTGGTCTGAGCACAGCATGGCATTCTGGAGAAACAGATGAAAACATGAGTCCTTCTCACAGCCCAGGGTAAAAAGGCAGCATCTAAGAGTCAGGAAGGTGCATCCTGTGGAGGATGGGTTTCATGTTGGTGCTGCCTGAGCTTTCTGAAGGATAAATAGCTGTTTGTGCAAAAGAAAATGACGTATCAAAGCAGATAATGGGGACTATAAGATTGAAATTCTGTCTCCCTGCCCCTCTTGGTGCATAGAGTTGGATTATCAAAGTATTTGCAAAGCCAAAGAACTTACTTTTGAGGTTTGTTTGGAAAAATGAAGAATGGCTTAGCAAACACAGAGAAGTGTGAGCAATAGCTGTATATTAACTATGTTATATTAAAGTGATCTCATAATTAGAACAGTTTGTACAGCACACAGGCCTGTGGGCATACTACTGGGGTAAAATAGCAAGTTCAGCTTTAGACCAGTGTACTTCTGGGGCTCTTTAGTGTGTGGTGTATAGCTGGCTTTGCAGGTTACCAGGGCGCTCATGTACTATTGACATACGGTGCTCATACAGCTGGGAGATGCTCTGGAGCACATCCTGTCTCCCCCTTCGCCTCTCTGGGTTAGAGATCTGAATGCTACAAGGATACACATACCAAAGAAAACCATCTCACATGGACTTTATATATAGAAAGACTTTCTGGTGCAGTAAAAGGCAACATAAAATTTTTTATGAAGGTGGGAAAACAGTATAAATTTACATCTTGGCATTTTGTATATTCCTAACATATGAAGAAAAGTTAAGGAAAATAAACCCAAAAGTTGGTGGGGAAAATGATCAAATGACATGAATGTTTATTTTTACCTCAGTGGGTGAATGCACTTGCCACCAAGCCGGATGACTTGCGTTCACTTCCTAAAACTCACGTAGTGGAAGGAATGAACAGGCTCTGACCTCTTTATAAGCACCTGGCCACTGGTACTGTCTTAGTGACTATTCTGTTACTGAAATGAGACTCCATGACCAAGAGAACTTGCAAAAGAAAACAGTTATTAGGACTTGCAATTTTGGGGAGTGAGTCCATGACTGTCCTACCATTGAGATGAGATACCATGACCAAGGCAACTTATAAAGGAAAACATTTATCAGGATTTAGAGTCTCAGGGAGTGAGTTGTTTTCCTGCCCCCCCCCCCAAAGCGGGGTTAGAGCTGAAGCAGAGAAAGCTCACATCTTGAGATAAAAATCACAAGGCAGAGAGAGAGCTAACTGGGAATGATGAGGGCTTTTGAAACTTCAAAGCCTATCTTCAATGACACAGCTCCACCAACAAGGCCACACCCCCTAATCCTTCCCAAACAGTTCCACCAACTGGGGACCAAGTGTTCAAATCTGTGAGCCTATGGGGCCATTCTCATTCAAACCACCATAGGCTTATTCCTATACACACTAAACAGATGAATAAATTACCTGAAACACATCTAAACACACACTAAACATAAATAAATCACCTGAAGCATGTTTAAACACATACAATGGATCATAGGTCCTTTGTAAAGATGTTTAGTATGTCTAATAAGAAATAGAAATTGAAACTGTGATGACATATAACATTGTTCAAATTGAGAAAAATAAAAGCTAAACAAGACTTGAACATAATTGAGGATGATTGAAATTCTAGCATTTGAGAGGCAGAGGCAAGAAGATTTTAAGTTCAAGACCAGTTTGGGCAATGTATGGCATTCTCAAAAAACAACAGCAACAACTGGGGGGGGGGAGAAGCCAAGGGCCTGTGGATCCGCCTCAGTTGGAGGTTCCCCAGCACCCATGTAACGACACCCCAACACTGGAAGGCAGGGACAGGGACACTCTCTGGAGCTAGCCAAAGTGGCAAGCTCCCAGTACAGTGAGAGAAACCTCCCCCACCACCACCACACACACACATCCTCCAAAAACAAAGTGAAAAGAAATAGAGATACCTGGAACAGACCTTTGGTGTCTGCAGGCATGTACGCAAACATTCACGTGGGTACACACATGAACATGAAGACTACAGGAAAACGTGTGCTTACACTTTGCTGGTAGAGAAATGACATAGTAAAAACTAAGGAGGAACTGTCTATGATAGGATAAGGTTAAGGGTGTAGCACAGTGATAGAGTGCCTAGCATGCACAAACCCCTGGATTTCATCTCCGCCATTTCTGAGCCAGCCATAGCACCATGAGCTTGAGTCCTAGTGCTCATCAGAGGGATTCAGGAATCAAGGTTATCCCCAGCTACACAGTGAGTCTCAGAACAGTCTGGGCTACTGTCTGGGCCCCATCTCCACATAGAGTTTTGTTTTAAATAAAACAAATCTGACACAAAATGTGCCAGGTACAGTAGCATAGGAGACACAGACAGGCAGAGATCTCTGAGTGAAGGCCAGCTTTGATCTAAATTATGAATTCTAGGACATCCAGGGTTACATAGTTAAACCCTGTTTCAAAACAAACAAATGGACAAACAACCTATAGGTGTGTTCACTAAATGATTTAGGATTCTTACTTACAGGAATTTAGTTCACTGCTATACCGCTCTCAATACAAAAACCTTTGTGCAAAAAGCCTTGCTTTGACTGAGGAAATGGCTCAGTGGATGCAGGTACTTGTCATCAACCCTGAAGAGGCCTCCAGGACCCACATTGTCAAGGGAGAACTGACTCCCACATGAGCGCATGTACACACTGCAGGTCATGCACGTGGCACGCTTTAAAATCGGTTCCCTACATTAGTTATAACTATACAATAGTGGAAATAACTAAGATTCCCAAACAGGTCACTGCTTAAATAGACTGTAGGATGTGGTAGAGAGAGAACAAGTAAACCACTCAGCAGCTGATGAAGGATGGTTTCCAGGGTGTGTTGTTGAGTGAAGAAAGCCAAGAGCAGTATTTGCATCTAACATTACCCTTCCTATAGGAAAGGCAGGACAGTGAGAAAGGACATTTGCATGTGTGGCCTTTTGTTTTAGAAACAGGAAAAATACACCAAACACCACCACGGGAGACTGTTTACCTCTGAGGGTGGGTTTGTAGGATTGATTGATAGAAGAAGGATTTATGGGGTCTTGTTGTTGTTTTGTTTTTTCCTTTGTTTTTCTTTCCTTTTCTTTTCCCTCCCTGCCTCCCTCCCTCCCTCTTTCCCAACACAGGGTTTCTCTCTGTTGTCCTGGCTGTCCTAGAACTCACTCTGTAGACCAGGCTAGCCCCAGACTCAGAGATCTGCCTGCCTCTGTCTCCTGAGTGTTGAGATTAAAGTTATGTGTCACAACACCAGTCCTGGAAGTGCTGTCTGTCCATCCATCCAACTATCCATTTTTCAAGCAGGGCTTTTTTTTTTTTTTTTTTTTTTTTTTTTTTTTTTTTTTTTTTTAGCTTTGGAGCCTGTCTTGGCACTCTGTAGACCAGGCTGGCCTCAAACTCACAGAGATCCACCTGCCTCCAGGATTAAAAGCATGCACCACTATCACTCAGTGAAGGGTTTGTTATTCTAAAAAACCTTTTGGCATAGTTTTAGTTTTGGTAGTAATGTTAAGGTTTTGGAAGGAACTGTAATTGTTTTGTTCATGGGAATACTGAAGCCACACTAAACAGGCTACGTGTAGCATGAGAATTAACCTGAACAATGTTTGATTATAGTGCTTTCTTTACGTAAACACTCCCAGTCTAAAGACAAGAGAATTATGCTGGGCAGTGGTGGCACATGCTTTTAACCCCAGCTTTAACCCCAGGATAGGCTCCAAAGCTAGACAGAGAAACCCTGTCTCAAAAAAACAAAAAAGGCAGAATTATAAACAGATACCAAGCTCAAGTTAGAAGATTTTTTAAAATGATTAATATAACAAATTTTGAAGTAACTGTTTGTGTAGCATTCTATAAACCCAGTGAGTGAAATAAAATATTGGAGACCTCGAAATTATAAACGGAAAGGGGGAAATTAGAAGGAGTTCTTTGCTGGATGAAATCAGATATTGGGGACTCTTTTAATACATGTATAGATAGATATGGACATGTTCACAAATATTTGTGTGTCATAATGCAAGTAAGACTCATCAGTGGCCAGGCCTGGTGGCGTATGCCTCTAATCCCAGCACTTGGGAGGCAGAGGCAGGCGATCTGTGTGAGTTCAAAGCCATCCTGGTGTACAGAGGGAGTTCCAGGACAGCCAGAAGCACACAGAGGAACTCTGTCTCAACAACCTCAACAAAACCCAAACAAGCAAACAAAAAGCAGTAGCAGAGTGCATCTTGCTGTGGGTAGAGTGATCCAGGTTTTGTTGTAGTGGGATGGAGAAGTCAGAGTTCTGTTTGGAATATGTTAATTTTGAGGTTTCTGTGACACATGCAAGAGGACAGAGCTGTGTGCAGACTGGCAGATGAATGACATTTACCTGTGACTTTGTAGACTAGAACCACCCCCTCTGTTCCTGTGGCACAGACCATCTGGATCTTAACCAAGTTCCTTCAGATGACAGCTCAGCTTAAGCTACTTTCGTAGCAAGTGTTCTAATTCAACATTTTCAGTTTAGGAGATGTTAATTTTTTTCCTTAGAATTAATTCTGATTCATTTAGAGGTGAGGCTCCCTCTGAGCACAGATAGTTGCTAGACTCCCACCCCCTCTAGTCAGCCCTTTGCCATGTGTGTCCCACAGTTGTGTAATCGGTCTTCACTCTTCTCTGTATAATTGCCCTTGACTTTTTTTGTCTCTATCTCTTTGGTTTTTATCTTAATTGATCTGAATCAAAAGATAAATAAAGCCACCTAACCCTCCCCCTTGGGGTTTTGAACAACCTAAGTACCAATAGTTCATCCTTCAGAGGTTACCATCTAGCACAAATACAAATAAATCCATTATGGGAAACTCAAGGAACCTTGGCAGATTCCATGGCTGACGTGGAGGGACAAACATGCCAGGCAGACAGAGCTTAAGTGAGAAGTTTTATTAGAAAGGGGAGGGAGGGGAAGGAAAGAGAAAAGAGGTAAAGAGGCACAGAGAGAGGGCAGAAGAGAAGGGAGACAGGAAAAGTCCTGTCTGCCTCAGGAGAACAGCAGGAAAGAGAGCGGGAAGAAGAGAGTAGAAAGAGAGCATAAGTGGGCGGGGTCTTTCTTTTAAAGGGGTCCTTTGCACCTGTGTGCAAACTAGTAGTCATGGAACCCTGGGCTGACCAGGGTACTGCCTGAGTGCATTCTGCCAGGTGGCAGGGGCAGGCCAACATAATGCCTGAATCCTTACATCCATATGTTTGACTTTTCAGATATCCACACAGAAGCGGTTCAGGCTGCTCTGGCAAAACACAAAGAACAGAAAATGGCTCTGCCCATGCCCACCAAAAGGCGGTCCACATTTGTCCAGTCTCCTGCGGATGCTTGCACTCCTCCTGGTAGGTTTATCAGAGCCTTTCTCGTTGACAGTTACCCATCATCAAATGAACCCAAGGAGTGCACCCTGAAGGTATTGGGTGTTGTTACTTTATGCACAGCACACAACAAGGCATCTTCAGACTTGTGCAGACAGCTTCCTTCTGAATCTCCATCGTTGACTGGCTACGACATCCATGCTCTTTGTCATCAGTAAACAACAGGCCAGGCCCCTCTGTGAGGACATGGCTTTTCTGTTGCTCTCCAAATGAGACATGTAGTCATAGATTTAACCCATTAGTCTCCTTAATTGATACTTTATCTCAATTTAACAGCCATCCTAAGAATGGGTAGACTTGGGATACAGTTTTGTGTGTCATTAAAGATTTTAGGAGGACATCGATACAGATTTGAAATAGATACGTAAAAAATAAACACGTGTTAATGTATTTTTATGTCTTGGATCCAGAGATGAGTGGGAAATAGATATCCATCCATCCTTTGTTCTGTCCAGTGTAAATTTGGGAGTTAGAACTTCATATCCTAGGACCCACTAGACAATGCTCAGACTTTTTCCTGTTCATATTATTTTTTCCTTAGATCAAATACCAGATAATAATTTTTTAATGATTTGTGTATTTTTATTTTATGTGTGTGTTTTCCTTGCATGTATGTATGTACACTGTGTATATGCCTGCTACCCTTGGAGGCCAAAAGAAGGTAACAGGTACCCTAGAGCCAGAACGACAAACTGTTACAGGTGCTGGGAACTGAACCTGGGTCTGGTAAGAGCAGCAAGTGCTCTTAACCAGCCCCCTCCACCCCATATCCCCGTCATGGCTTTGGAGTGCTTCTCTGGAGGCTGCACTGTGTGGTTGGTTTTTATTCACAGCTACCATGCTGAGCTTTGCTTATGGATCCAGGCTCGTGTTAACAGTTTTCTTCTAGCGATTGACTAACTTCTTAGAGCACTTGGGTTTGCTGTGGCCTCATTTGCTGTGTATGCTTTTTTTCCCTTCACATTTGTGGTGTCAATATGTTTGAAAGAGAAATAGCTCTGTGGCTTCAAGTGTTTCTCAAAATGTAATGCAGGATACCTCTAGCAGACTAACACAGTGAGGCATTTTGTGTCCATAATGGTGCATACTTGAGACCCACTCATTCAGAATCTTGGATGGGTTCCCTTCCACATTTGTATTGTATACAAGTTGGGTCCTTGGGCACAAAGAGAGCTCTCAGTTTAGTAGCCATCCATGTTGGCAGATCCCCTGCAGCATGGCTGAAGGTTCAGTTTTAGTAAATGGCAAAGGGCAAGGAACAACATGACATGCAGTTCTTAGAAGCAGCTCTCTCCCAGCCCGTGTCAAGGCTGTGTGGGTTCAGAGTAAATGGCTACTCTCATGGCTTTGGGTTAGAAGTGAGAGTGCTCACTTTTATAAACCCTTTCATAAAAGTCACTGCCAGAGGGGAGCTTAGCAGCTCTGGAAAGAAGTCACAGCTGTCCCTGCTGAATGGAACTTTGCAGCCTTCTACCGCAAGCCTCTGTATTTCTAAACATGCATGCTGTGTTCAGTATGAAACCTTCAAGGTGGAGCTTATTCTTGATCACATGTTACACATGTTAATATTTTCATGATGAAGACACAGTCCTCTTGAGAAGGGTGATTGGGCTTCCTGTCCATTTATCTTCTCCTCTAGAACTTTCTGAATAGGAATTGAAACACCTCTATATGCTGTTAGGGACATCTGTGTTATAAGTAGAAAAATCTCTACCAGAGACATTGAGGCCCCTCCCCAGCAGTCTTACACAGCCCCAGTGAGGTAGACCTTGGTGGTCTCACGTAGCTGTTCTGCTCATACCAAGTTCAAGTATTTTGCTCTAGAGAGGGAAAGTAGGAGGCCTGAATCATTAGGAATCTGCTAGCACCCTTCATGACAGCACTGGAATTTGCCATTCTTTCTGGGTGGTGGTAATGTATGCCTTTAATCCCAGCACTCTTGTGGGGGGGGATGCAAAGGAAAGCGATCTCTGATCTTGAGGCCAGCCTGGTCTACAGAGTGAGTTCCAGGATGGCCAGGGCTACATAGAGAGCTTTGGCTACTTTTACATGTTACAATGAAAAACACTAACAACATATCCCAGGACCTGTGACCTCTAACTCAGATATCACCGTTTTATCTGGCTTATCTACTTTTGCTAGCCCCAAGTACCCAAGTTAAGAGACTCTCTTCTAGGGGTGTAAAAGAAAAAGAGAAATGACATGATTGCTCATCATTGAATGTTTTTAAAATCAACTTTTGGCCAGTTATAAAAATGATCAAAAGGTGGGCAGCTGGAGAGATGGCTCAGTGGAGTTTGAATCCCCATCACCGTCATCTCTGACCCTGGCACTGTATGGGGAGGTACAGATGGATTCCTGGGGTTGACTGGTCAGCTGGTCAGCCTAGCTGAAATGATAAGGCCCATGTTCAGGGAAAACCCTGTCTGAAAAATATGGCAGAAATGTGTTGAGGAAGATACTTTTTGTCAACCTCTGACCTCTACAGGCTTACTCCCTCCAGTGCTCCACACACATCCTACCTCATGTGTACACACATATAAGCCACAAAATCATGTGCCACATTTGCTCACTTCACAATATTTTAGCCTTTGTTCTTTGTACACTGAGCTAACACTCCACACATCATGTTTGAAGGCTCTTCCCCTTCGTGTGCTGTGTTTGTGGACCTCGCTTGTGGTGCACTGAGCACTCATCTGCTTTCCCTTTGAGAGGTGCACAGCCACCTGCATTCAAAAGGGTGTAAGGAAGAAGACCCCAGAAAGTTTGGCTTCACTTATGGTGTCATGCAGTTTGGAAGCAATGGTAAATAGTGGGCATGGGAAATAATTTGTCTTTTTTCATAAATAACTCTCAAATAATAGGATACAAGTCGGTCTAAAATGTGACTATTGGGGCTTACACTAAACTGCCATGGATTTGAAAATTTGAGTTCTTCAAGTATGCCGTGATTCTTAGTTTTAATGCCTGTGGTCTTTCCCCATCCGTTAGACTGATTGAATGACTGTCACCCAGTTCTTGTATGTGCTGAAATCATTTACTGATGTCATGAGGCAGTTACCTCAGCTCTCTCTGTGGAGGCTCTTTGTTACCACCATTATTCATTCATACAGAAAACAGTGCAAACCCTTAGCAATGATTTACTTGTTTCTGCTCCTGAGCCTTTTCTGTAGCTGTGTGGGCTTATTGTTTGCTTCTACCAGAGTGGGCAGGTGACCCCAAACCTGGCTCTAGTGCAGTGAAGCTTTGTGTGTATGTGTGAGATCCCATACAGGGTCTTGCTTGCCAGTGACTATGGTTATTCTTGGGGATAGAAGACAAGGATAAATTTTCCTCTCCGTAGTTTTGTTTTTAAACTTTTGCCACACTATTAATTTCATTCTCTATATTTCTGTATATTAACATGATGTTCTGGAACACATTGGGGTATTGTTAGTTTTTCATCTAACTTACGGATGCTTTATAGAGTTGTTGTTGTTCCTTGCACTGTGCCAAGGACTTTCACCTAACAATGACTGCCCTGCCAAACTTGTGTTTCTCACAAACAAAAAATCTAGTAGGAAGACTAGATGTTTCGTGGATGTGAGACACCAGCATGTTCATGGTCACAGAGTGACTTGTTCATTTGTAAAACAGTAGCAGGCAGACTCAGTCTTCTTCCTGAGTGTATCTTTCTACCAAGTGTCACAGATAGGAAATTTCTTTTACCTAACAGCTTCCCATATCTGCACACTGCTAGAATAGTATATGTCACTTAGCCATTGCCTCTTGAAAGCTATGGACCAAAACACCATTCAGTCAGTTAAATGTTACTTGAAAGGGGATGAGGCTTAGCGCAAAGGAAGTCCCAGGTTCAGTCAATAGCACTACACCATAGACTTCGTAGCACAAACCTGTGATTCCACTCACAGAAGGTGCACAGTCCCCTTTAGTTACATTTTAAGTCTGAGGCCAGCTTCTGGTATATAGACCATGTACCCTCCCCTCCCCCAAAAAAAGAGAAAGAAAAGAAAAAGAAATCTGATAGACTACCAGTTTGCAGAATTTTCCAAGGATTATAGTTTATTTAAAACCACAAAGTACACAGTGGCTAGACTAGACCCCTGTAAGTGGTGGGTCTGTGTTTTTTGACAGCATATTGTCATTGTTCAAAGGGGTTATGAGCTGTAGTCACTCATCCTTGAGGAACCAATTAACAAATATTTAGTATTCTTTAGGCCAACGTATAATGCAAAACCCACCATGTCATCAGCTTAAACTTGGTATTTTCAATAGCTCTTTGTAAAATTTAAGGTTTTCTAATGAAAGTAATCTCATGCTTAATGTTACTGAATACATTTCATGTACTACTCAGAGGGAGGTAGGGAGGGAGGGCATGTGGGCACAAGACTGAACTAGAGAAAATTAACTTGCCCATAGATGATGTCAAGGTAGATTGCTTTTGGGAGCTAGTAAAGAAGATACTTGAGGAAACAATAATGGACTCTAACAGGGCTAGAAGGTAATGCAATACTGGGACACATATGCAGATTGCACAAGGCCCTGGGTTTGATCCCTTGTACACCCCCACACAAATGAACAAAAAGAAAACAGGATCTGATTGCTATGTCAGAGCTAAGACCCAAGTCAAGAATGATCTTGATTAGTTAACTAGTTAGTAAGGGTGTGTGTGTGCGCGCGCGCACGCAAGCTCGTGTGTGTGTTCAGGCTTGTGTGTGTTTTTGGTTCTCTCCTTCTACCAGTTGGGTTCCAGGGATTGAATTTGGGTTGTCAGGCTTGGTGCAGCACCTTTACCCACTAAGCCATTTAACAGTTCCCACTCCGAATTTAGAGTGGACTGATTGAAAAGGTCACTCCTTAAGCCACTTAAGCCATATTTGCCTCTCATTCTGGACTGTTTCATGTTGAGTATATGCTTTCCTGACAATTTGGAGCACTAGGATTGTTAAGTGTTCAGTCTAGCA